ACAGGAAAATAAATTCATTATTTATTCAGTAATTTTACTAACCCATGTCTTTTCGTAAAACCTTTTAAAAACATAATAATGTAATAAAATTCTTGTCATGGATAGTTACCAATAAAACTAAACTAAGTAAAATAAACTAAAATAGTTCTAGTTTACTATTACAATTTATTTAAAATAAATACGATAATTAAAAACTATTGACATAATTATACATGCCACTATAAGTCAAAAGAAACATCATAGATGTCTTACTGATACTGATGATATGTATGTCTTTCCAAAAGATGCTCCAATAGCTCCTTACTGATCGCACTTATCCTTATTAGAACCTACACATAAAAATAATCACGCGCTAGGTATAACTTAGTGAGGCAGTACTAATAAAGGTGAGAACAATTAAATAAAATATCAAAATATATAAAATTATTAAAATATAACAGACTGAATTTCTTCAGAACATTCAAACCAGATATCTCATGTTGAACTTTATAATAAACCTGAAAAGAATCATCTAATAATTTTCACAAGATTATAAATAATCAGATCAGACAAAATAATCAGTTCATAATTCTTTATAGTCAGACACTTTTCAGAACTTTCTTGTTTCATTTTGATAGCCCAAAGTATATTTTAAGAGAATATAAGATACGTGAGTCAGACGAGTGTGCGCAATACAGATCTCAGATCATCAGAGTCGGAACAGATAAGCACACACAGTGTTATAACATCGGAAATAATAATATGCACACCAAGTGCATTCAGACCAGAATATATATATATACTAGTGTACACTCTGGTACACCACAGTATATCGAAATCAGAACATATAATCACTCCACCTCATGGCATGCCAATTGTACCTATGACTCTCCGTATAACATAAAATGGGCTTTTTAGTCATTTCGTAATCATTTGATAAAAATCATATCATAATCAGAAATATATTTAATTCACATTCGTAAAATATGACATAGGCAGTTCATACCTCAAAATCATTCATAAAACTTATTAACAATATTACGGATATACTTCCATAGTCAAAACATAATTCATATATTTCAAAAATAAATAATGTGAGGTTAACTTATCGCAAGTCATCCTCGATCAAAATAATTAAATAAATAAACTGCACTCACCTTTGCCTCACTACAGAACTTGTATATGATAATACTAGTCACAAACTTTGTCCTTTCCTTTCAGATCGTTCGGGTTACTAGTTTTATTGAAATCTGACAATACCAAATTATAACACAAAATATTTAAACTACATATTAGTATCATTCCAACATAAACACATTTTGACATTTGAAAATCTATAAAATAAAAACCATAACTAAATCGATATCAACCTAACTCATAACTCCATTATAACTTCAAACCACATATTTTGAATTCTTTCTAAAATTCAACTCAACTTTTCCTTTAATTCATAATGGTCCTTCGCCATTATGATAATTTTACATTAATTACTAAAATTCCAGAACTTGAATAAAATACCCAAATAATACTTCTTCATTTAAGAACTTGTAAACAAGTCCCCAAAGTTTTGGAACCTTTCGAATTCCACCATCTAACCATTAAAATGAATTCTTTTAGAATTCTTCTCAACATTTCCAATTTATTCAAAATGGTATCTTGCCATTTAACTTCAATTCCAAGCATCTAAAAATATACTCAACATTTAAACATTATTCTTCATCTTCTAATCCATTTCAACTTAAATTCTACAAATTTCCATATTCAGACAACTTGTACTATCTTTAAAGAATCAATATTATGTATTGATATACACACTGGAATTTGATTCCGTTTCTTCCATTCAAAACTAGACCCGAATACGAATCTATCCATATAAATAACTCCTTCTAATTCATTATGTACAATTTATGGTGAATTTTCAAAGTTGACTAATAGAACCTGTTTTGTGCAGAATCTGCTGTCCGTTTTCTGACCTTTCCTCGGTTAAAAAATCATATCTTTTTTATACACCTTGAAATTGATCTTCGTTTGTTTTAAACAAAACTAGATTGATATAAGAACATAATATATAAAAATCACCTCCAAATAATATTTATAGAATTTCTGGTGAATTTTCAAACTCACTGCCAAATTCAAAATCTAAATTGTTTTCATTAATTTGCATCCTTAGGTTCTTCATCAATTCTTACAACACTTCTAATATCAAGAATTGATCTTTAATCATAAAAATCACACTTCCCCTTCATCAATATCTTACCAACTTGAGCATAAAACATGAAGAATTTTATGCCAAATGAAAGAGAAATTCATGTAGGTTATTTTATCTTTAATAACCTAACTTAAAATTCTAATAAAATGAACCAAAAATTTAAAAGAAAATCCTCTCACCTTGTAATTTGAGTCTCACGGCTGCTGGAGAAAGAAGAAACTGAAATTTTCTTCAATTTGCTAGACCTTATCCCTTAGTACACATATCATTATATAATATAAATGAATATTAAATTTATTTAATCCACTTTACCATTTTGCCCTTAATAAAACTTAATAATTTCATCCATGCCACTTATGGCATCATCACTTACCTCATCAAATTCATAAAATATCTAAATTCTAATTTTCATGTTTGTCCTTGTAATTTTTGAAATTTGCAATTTAGTCACCTAATTCCAAAATTTTGGCTTAACATGGAAAATCGACTTTAATTCCATTGATCCATGTTAAATTTCACTTTTCTAAAATATATAAATAATATTTCCAACCTTTATAACATCCTTCAAATTTCCGTAAAATTCTGGTTCGGTCCAATTATCTGATTTCAATACCGAAATTTACTGCTTTATATCTTTTATCACAATTCCCGTACCAAAAATATGATCCCCGCTAAAATCTCTGTTTTATTCCAAACTTTTCATTTACAGGCATAAAATATAAATAACTTTTAAAAATTATAAATTTTGGGTCCTAAACTTTTCAAAGTTCATACTTTAGCCACTAAACTTTCTAAACTTATATTTTAGTCACTGGTCAAATTTTTGGGGTATTACACCTATCATATTACTCAAACCAGTACAAGTGTGTTTCGTGATGGTGTTACATTAATGTTTTAAACTATTTATATGAACTGTTTTAGATTTCTGATGACACTGAATATTTTTTACGAGAAGATATCTGATTTTATGAATATTGTTTATTTAATATCTGATTTACTGTATATTTCTGATATGATCTCTAATTACTATATTTTTGTATCTAATTTCTGAGTATGGAATATTTTCATGTTTTAATGGATTAAACTACATTTTTACTCAAATAAATACATGTTTATTACTATCATAGGGGGCATTATTGGAGGAAATATATCAGGCTTAGTCTATGACTTGTAAGATCTTACCGCATTATCCTATACTTTGTGCACATGGTAAGTCTTTACCCCTGGTCCTTATGTTATATGTATAAGGCCCTTACCAGATGTATAAGTGGGTGTATAGTTCTGGGGAACCTACACATTCTGGTGATCGAATGGGGGTAGTGGTCATATTTTTAAAACATGTTTGATAAATTGATTTTTACTGAAGTATTTTATCAGTATGTTTTTATACAATGTAAGCAAAACATTGTGCTTTTTAGTTCATTCTGTAAATTTTAACTTTTCAGATAATAGCAGACCATAAGCTAGTAGATTTGGCATTATGAGGACTAATTACTCCTATTTTTGTACCACTGTATATGTTTATATGCTTTTTTGTTATACTTTGGTGTCACGTGTTTTTGCTGCCATCTCGATATATTTATATTATCGGTATTTTGTTTTGTAAGTGTTATATACGATTTTTTTTATATATGTTTATGTTTAACGTATGAATTTTTCTTATGGCTAATATTCATATTATATTATTATATGAATTTTAACGTTATTTTAAATATGAAAAAAATTTCTGAATACGATATGTAACTGCCTAGGTTTGCTCATAACGTCCAAGTCAGGTCTAGGATGTTACACTTGATGGTATCAGAACCATTGGTTTTAAACACTCAGACTATGGATGAGTCCTAAACTCTGGATTTTTAAGATCTTTTCGATAGTTTTAAAAACTGTGTCACCATATTTTATGAGTTTTAAATATATTCGAGATTCTTGATGATAGTCTAACTTAGATTCAAATTCTTTTTGTAGAGCCTTATATATTTATTCGATGAGTGTTGCTAGAGGTTGTAAGCCAGGCCGTGATCGTGGTCCATGGCGAGCGACTCGACCTTCTGTTACGATAGACGATCCAATATCACCGCGAGATCCTCCTGTTTCGCATGTGGATCCATTTATTTCTCATGATGATCCGGTTACTCCTACGAGAGACCCTCCCATCACTGAAGACGAGGACATTTATTTAGATGAGGATGCCATTAATAGAGCTATCTTTCGCATGTTCCGAAAAGCTACTAGAGTCCCTGGTAATACATACGCATTCCATATTTTGAAGTCTATGGTAGCTGCTGGAGTAGTTTCGTTTGAGGGCATTACATGTGGACCTCCAACTGACACTAAGTATTGGTTGGAAAATACAGAGAGGATTATTGATGAGATGAATTTGATGTATGATTAGAAGTTAAAGGGAGCCCTATTTATGCTAAAGAAATAAAGTTTTATATGGTGGCAATCGATTTCTGCTAGTATTCTGGGGAATTAGTTGACTTAGGATCTTTTCAATGCACGTTTTCGAAGTCGCTACATAGGAGAGAGATACTTGCATGAGTGTCGCCAAGAGTTTTCATAATTTGAAGAAGGGTGATATATCTGTTGTGGATTATGAGATTGATTTTATCAGATTGAGTCGTTATGCTACTAGACTTATTGACACTGAATTGAATTGATGCTTGAGGTTCGAGAATGAACTCAGACATGAGATCATGTCGAGTTGCTACCCATCGGGAGAGGAAATTTGATGCCTTAGTTGAGATAGCCAGACCACGAAAGAGAGAGCAAGTGGGTATAAGCGCATGAGAGATAGACTCTGGTTGACCTGATGAAGTTACCTTTAGAGGAGTTTGACTTGATTCTTGGCATTGATTGGTTGAGCAAGCATCAAGTTAATCTCGATTATGAGACCAAGAGAGTTGTTCTGAAGACTCTGGATAACCGGAACATTGTGATGATCAAGGAGCGTCATGGATTCCTGGCGAATGTTGTAGCTGCCTTGGTAGCTGAGAGGATGATCAAGAAGGGTTTCGAGGCATTTCTTGCTTATATTTTGGATACTAGGATTTCTTGATCTGACATTGAAAGCATCCTGACCGTTAAGGAATTTCCCGATGTTTCCCTTGAAGAGTTGCATGGATTGCCATTGGATAGAGAAGTTGAGTTTGAGATTGAAGTCTATTCTAGTTCAACCCCGGTTTCGATGACTCTTTACCGTATGGCCCCAAAGAAGCTTAAAGAACTGAAAGTCCAACTATAGGGGATTTATCCGAACCAGTGTTTCACCGTGGGGAGCCCTAGTTCTCTTTGTCGAGAAGAAATATGGGACATGACTGTATTGATTTCAAGAAACTGAACAAGCTCACGGTTAAAAAAAATATCCTATACCTAGGATCGATGATTTGTTTGACTAGGTTCGAGGGGCTTCTATGTTTTCAAAGATAGACCTAAGGCCTGGTTATTACCAACTCAAGGTAAAGGATTTTGATGTCCCAAAGACTACTTTTCGTACTAGATATGAGCATTATGAGTTTTTAGTGATGTCATTCGGGTTAACTAATGCCCATGTTGCTTTCATGGATCTGATTAATCGGATGTTTCAACCCTATTTAGATCAATTTATGATTGTGTTCATTGACGACATACTAGTGTATTCTCGAACTGAAGCAGAACATGATGATCATTTAAGGATTGTTCTGCAGACTCTGAGGGGACACAAGTTATACGTCAAGTTGAGCAAGTGTGAGTTCTGGCTCGGTGAATTGACTTTTATTGGGCATATCGTTTTTGCTGAGGGTATCCGGGTGGATCTGAGTAAAGTGGAGACTATTCTGAACTAGAAGCAACCCAAGAACATCTCAGAAATCCGTAGTTCTTGGGCTTAGCTGGTTGTTACCGTCAGTTCGTAGAGGGTTTCTCTATTATTACAGCTCCTTTAACAAAACTATTGAGGAAAGATGTTTTATTTGTCTAGTTTGAAGACCAACAAGCTAGTTTTGAAAATTGAAGATTGTTCTGACTCAAGCCCAGTGTTGATTCAGCCTGAGTCTGGGAAGGATTTTTTGTCTACAGTGATCTTCTCACTCTGTATTATGATGTGTTTTGATGTAATATGGGAAGGTTATCGCTTATGTATCACGTCAGTTAAAGCCGCATGAGCGCAACTATCCTACTCATGATCTGGAGTTAGATGCCGTGGTTTTTGCTTTGAAGATCTGGAGACACAATCTATACAGAGAAAAGTTTATATTTATACCGATCATAAGAGTCTGAAGTATTTGTTTACTCAGAAATATTTGAATTTAAGGCATTGTTGCTGGTTGAAGCTTCTAAAGGACTATGATTGTGAGATAAAGTACCATCCGGTGAAGGCTAATGTGGTAGTCGACGCCTTGAGCCGTAAGACGATATCCAATCTGAGAGCCTTGTTTGTCAGTTTGAGTTTGTTTGATGATGGTAGCATGTTAGCAGAGTTACAGGTTAAACCCACTTTGGCCGAGAAGATTAAGGTCAAACAGCTCCTTGATAGCTCCTTACTTCCCATGATTGGGCAGGTTGAGCAGGGAAAAAGTTCATATATACTTTTGATCAGGATAATATTTTGTGCTTTCATGGTCGTTACTGTGTCCCTAAAGATTATGAGTTATGACGGACTATTCTTCAGGAGACTAATAGTAGTCATTATTCCATGCTCCTGGCGGTGACAAAATGTACAAGAATATCAAGTAGCGATACTTTTGGAGTGGCGTGAAGAAGGATATTTAGTTTTGTGGCGAGGTACCTGACTTGTCAGCAGGTTAAGGCATAGTACAAGAATTCGTTTAGACTGTTGCAGTCTATTAAGATTCCTGATTGGAAGTGTGAGTGTATTACAATGGACTTTGTTATCAGTCTTCCTCTTACTCATTCCAAAAAGGATTCTTTTTAGGTGGTTGTGGATCGACTCACCAAGTTAGCTCACTTTATCCATGTTCGGGTTAATTATTCTTTGGACAAGTTGGCTAGATTGTATATCTCTAAGATCTTTAGACTCTACGGTGTTCCGTTGTCTATCATCTCTGATCGAGATCTGAGGTTCACTTTTAGGTTTTAGAAGGCTTTGCACGAGACTCTGGGTACTCATTTGAATTTCAGTACAACTTTCCACCCACGGGCTGATGGTCGGTCTAAGCAAGTGATTCAGGTCCTAGAGGATATGTTACGGGGTTGTGTGATTGATTTTCATGGTAGTTTGGAAGATTTCTTACCTTTAGTCGAGTTTGCTTACAATAACAAGTACCAAGCAAGTATTCGCATGGCACCGTAAAAGGCTATGTATGGACGTCAATGTCGTACTCCTATATGTTGGACAGAGTTGTATGATAAGAAGACTTTGGGTCCAGAGTTAGTTCAAGAGACTTAGAATATTGTCATATTGATCCATGATCGCCTGATAGAGGCATTTAATAGGTAGAAATCATATGCATATCAACGACGGAATGATATTGAGTTTGAGGTTGAGGATCAAGTCTTTCTAAAGGTATCTCCATGGAAGAAGGTGTTGAGATTTGGACGTAAGGGTAAATTGAGTCCGAGATTTATTGGGTCGTATCGTATTCTAAAAAAAGTCAAACATGTTACTTATAAGCTCGAGTTGCCTCCCCAGCTCAATCACATTCATGATGTTTTCATGTATCCATGTTGAGGCGATGTCGTCCAGATCTAGGTCACATCATTCAGGTTGTTGAAGTAGAGTTGAGACCTAATTTGTCCTGTGAGGAGGAGCCCGTTTATTTTAGATCGAGATGAGAGAGTTCTTCAGAATAGGTGTATTCTGATGGTCAAAGTTCAATGGAGTAACCGTGGCACCTCAGAAGCTACTTGGGAGACATTGGAGTCGATGAAGGCTTAGTTTTCACATTTATTTTCATCAGGCAATTTCGAGGACAAAATTTCTTTTAAGGGGGAGAGTTGACACACCCCAACTTAGGGGCTAAAATTTTCTTAAATTTTTTTTCGAGAACTAAATTGAAATTTTAAATAAATTCGGGACCAAAGTGAAATTTGATTAAATTTAGATTCAACTTTAGAAAGTATCAAAAACTAAATGACTTATGGTATAATTTTACCATTTTTCCTTTTTAGGGAATATATAACCCCAAAATCTAAAAGTTTATTCCTTTAAAAACCTCATTCTCTCTATTCAAACTTTCCTCTTGAGTCTAATTTTGTAATCTGTTTTGCCAAATTCTGACTTGAAAGCCCTAAATTGGTTATGGAATTGATTCGAGAAAATATTTTTATGAAGGTACTCGTGTTTTACCCGATTGAGGATCGGTTAGATCCGGTGCTTCAAGTCCGTTAAATTCGCTCGATTCGCGTTCTTCGAGAGTTACTCGTAGGTTTTCTGTAAATTATTTAAATATATGTTATTATTATTCATATTAGGATTCTGATATAGATTTTCTTCTTTGTAGGATCTAACATTGCCGCTAATCGTGATCGGTAGACTCAACAGTAGGCTTTCCTATCAAACTACTCAGACATGTACATGTGTGTTTTCTGATGGTGTTACATTACTGTTTTAAACTATCCATCTGAACTGTTTTAGATTTCTAGTGATACTGAATATATTTTACGAGACGATATCTGATTTTCTGAATATTGTTTATCTGATATCTGATTTACTGTATATTTCTGATATGATCTATGATTACTGTATTTTTGTATCTGATTTCTGAGTATGAAACATTTTCATGTTTTAATGGATTAAACTATCATTTTCACTCGAATACATACATATTTATTAATGTCATTGGGGGTATTATTGGATGAAGTATATAAAGCTTAGTCTATGACTTGTAAGACCTTACCGTAGGCTCCTCTACTTTGTGCACAGAGTAAGTCCTTACCGCATGTCCTTATGTATATGTATAAGGTCCTTACCAGGTGTACAGATGGGTGTATGGTTCTGGGAAACCTACACATTCTAGTGATCGGATGGGGGGTAGTGGTCATATTTTTAAAACATGTTTAATAAATTGGTTTTTACTTAAGTATTTATCAGTGTGTTTTTATACACCATAAGGTTGGGTTTTTAGCTCATTCTGTAAATTTTAACTTTTCAGATAGTAGCAGACCGTAAGAGCGCAAGGCTCTTAACCTTGTGGTCGTGGGATCGAGTCCCACGGTGGGCAATTCATAATTCTGACTGTCAGAGGTCTTCCACGGAAGCTGCTCTCAACCTAGCGTTGGGGGCAGCCTACTACCCTACCTCCCCCTTACCCCATTACATATGAGAATAGGGTCAGCTAATTTTTTTATAGTAGTAGACCGTAAGCTAGTAAACTTGGCATCAGGAGGACCGACTATATTTTTGTACCACTGTATATCTCTATATGCCTTTTTGTTATACTTTGATGTCACGTGTTTTTGCTACCGTCTCGATATATCTTTATTACCGATATTTTGTTATGTAAATGTTCTATACAATTTTCTGATATATGTATACGTATATTTATCGTATGAATCTTTCTTATGGCTAATTTTCATATTATACCGTTATATAGATTTTAACATTGTTTTAAATATGAAAAAAATTTCTGAATACAATATGTAACCGCCTAGGTTTGGTCATAACATCAAAATTGGGTCTAGGGGTTACACAAAGCTTAAGTATATGAAAGTCTTATAATGCATTAGAAAAACAACATATAAATATTAATATTATTAATGATTTAATTTAAAAAATTAAAAATTTAATATATTATTTTTTTTGAGTTGCTCGCAAGTTTTTTCAAGTCGAATATCAAGTAGTTTGCTTCGACTTGTTAAGAACTCAAGTAGAGTCCATTCGAGTTGATTGTTGACCGAGCTTTAACTGGGTCAAACTCGAATAACTTAGGATCTTTCTCGTCTCATTTATAATACTATTGGTATGTCATAATAAGATATTAACTCGACGAGACAATAGATATCGTAACTACAAGGTTATCACTTTCGATGATCTGAGTTTAAACAACATTGTTTATAAAATATATAGAGGTTTTGGTTTTTTCCGCTCCTTTGCCTTGTGCAAGAAGAGTGTAGTATTACATCTCGAATGTCTACCAACGATCTCGATCCTACTACCTGGGGCACAATCCGAGTCAATGTCTTGCCATTCAATAAATAATCACTCTCCTAATTGAACTACGATCAAAATTATTTTGTCCAGGCAATGTATATGATAGATATGCATTGAGAAATCTTACCAAGTAGATGTTTGTTCTCTGAACTCATGCATCACTCCCTTTAGAGCTGGAGACATCATCAACATCTGGTTTCTTCTCTTCAGTGACTGCTGCCGGGTTCTCAGACGATCGATCGGCATCCTTTTCAGCTCATATTCAAACTCCTTTGCCGCCTGCAAAATTTAGTGACCATCAAATTTAAAACTTATCAACCTGGTAGATTGAGAAGGATGTTCATTTTCTATCCTAATGTGTAAAATCAAATCATTTCAGTTCGAAATGAAAATAAAAGAGAAAATGTGAAAAAAGTATCAAGGGTAATTAAAATTCATGAATTCTTCTGCCAATAATCTAAAGAATTCATGTCAAACATCATTATTATCACTAGAGATTTGAAGAAACAAGAGATGTGCTACTGGCTTTCAGTTTAATGAAATTTCAGTTAGTAATGTATTTTGTGTAATCTGCATAGGAACATTCAAGACACAATCAGAGATGGAAACCCAACACAATTCATGAAATTAAATTTCTATCCTATCTTTGCTCAATTATCTGTTCAAATTTGAATAAAAAAAAGCAATTAAAGGTCATCTAATTGCTCAGGTTTTAGTTGGTCACCTAATTAAACGGCACACCAGTGTAAAAAAAAAGTCTTCAAATTTTCATTTTTAACCAAAGATTCACCATGGACAATGGCAAAGCCTCCATTTTTACATCCCAAATAAACATTTTTGAATAGAAGGGTTCAAAGTCTGGATCCTTTTCCATTTTGTTTTTGTCATGTCAAGCAATACCCAGATAAGGAAATGAAAAAACCTGTTGAAAACTCTTGACAGTTTTCCCAAGACTCTTCCCTATTTCAGGCAACTTCTTTGGTCCAAACACAAGGGCAGCCACTCCAGCAATAACAGCGAGTTCAGGCACACCAAGGCCAAACAAAGCGTTGCAAGTAAGACCCTTTTTAGCAGGTTCAGCTCTTGTCTTCCTCTTTGGTTGAACAATAACAAAAACCGATTTGTTTTGAGATTTGGTTTTGTTCAACAAAGAAATAGTGTTACTGCTGGTGACGAAATTGGACCGGGAAGAAGAAAAAGGAAGCGCAGGTGATGGGAATATTGAGGGAGAGAGAGTTGTAGAAGCAACCTCCATTGTACGTGTAGATTTGTTTACAAGTGAGAGACTTCTATATTTGTGGATGAAGATGAGATTTTAGGGGCATGAGGGCTAAAAATTCTCTTTTTATTATTTTAATTAATTTTTATTCACAAATCAAATTATTTTGATAATAAAAAAATTATTGTTATTTTTTAAAATACTGAATTCGAACAAATATTAATATATGAACATTTAATATTAAATGATTAAAGAATATCTTTAAATATATATTATTTTATATTTATCTTAAATTAATAGAATTATTTTATTAGTAGTATTTTATTTTGGTCATAAACTCCATAGTCCATGCCAAAGAAAAAGAGCATAGTAGCCTAAACTCCAAGCCAACAGTTACTTCTATGGGCACATGCAGTCACTGCCAATGTTCAAGACTTCAAGTTCATGCTTCTCTTAAACCTCAAAAAACCAATAGCTTCACACCAAAGTAAACAAATCCATGCCCAGTTAATCACCAATGGCCTAAAAGATCCCTCCTTTTTCGCCAAACTAGTTGAAAACTACTGCCTTTTATCCTCTTCACAAAATACCCAATATGCACCATTGATATTCAAGCACTTTCACCCACAAAGTTTGTTCCTTTTCAACACTTTGTTAAGATGCAGCCGACCCATGTACTCAATCTTTACTTTTGCCTACTGGGTTTCAAAAGGGCACCTAGTTTTTGATTATTTCACTTATATTTTCGTGCTTGGTGCTTGTGCTAGATCACCATCGTTGTCCACGTTATGGTTAGGAAGAGAAGTTCATGTGAAAGCTTTTAAATCTGGTTTTATGTCGAATCTTTTGGTGGAGACGACATTGATTCATTTATATGCGAATAATAAGGATGTTTTGTCAGCAAGAAGAGTGTTTGATGAAATGACTGAGAGAAGTAGTGCTACCTGGAATGCCATGATTAGAGGCTATACCTCACAACAGGAGAGAGCTAAGAAATGTTGCAGGGAAGCTTTGGTGCTGTTTAGAGACATGTTGAATGGTGTTCTGGGCAGACTCCTACTGATACTACCATGGTTTTGTGTTCTTTCAGCTTGTTCTCAATTGGGAGAGCTTTACAGTGGGGCTTGTGTTCATGGTTTTATAGAGAAGACAATATGTAGGCCTGAGGATGATGTATTTATTGGAACTGGTCTTGTTGACATGTATGCAAAATGTGGGTACATTGATAGTGCTTTTATGTATTTTTAGGCTAATGAGTGTGAAAAATGTTCTGACTTGGACTGCCATGGTAGCTGGCTTAGCACTTCATGGGAGAGGAAAAGAAGCATTGGAGCTGTTGGATGCAATGGGGGATTTCGGTATTAAACCTAATCCGGCGACTTTCACTAGCTTGCTATTTGCTTGCTGTCATGCAGGGCTTACTGAAGAGGGACTAAAGTTATTTCAGAATACGAGGAGCAGGTTCAGTATCAAGCCTCATATACAACATTATGGCTGCATCGTTGATCTACTTGGCAGGGCCGGATATCTGAACGAAGCCTACGATTTCATCATAGAGATGCCAATCAAACCCGATGCCATATTGTGGCGGAGTTTATCAAGTGCGTGTAATGTTCATGGAGATCTTGCAATGGCTGAGAAGGTAGGGAAGATTCTGCTCCGACTCAAGCCATCAAAGAATTCTCTACATGTGACTGTTACCATTGAAGATTATATTGCTTTATCAAATGTTTATGCTTCTGCTGGAAGGTGGCGACAAGTGGAGACAGTAAGAAAGAAAATGAAATCAAAGAGGGTAGAAACCAGACCTGGTGGTAGTTTCATACAGACTATCAGCGAATCAACTTGATCAGTTACCGATCAAGAAAAAAAAAACAATAGCATAGCACAACCATATTCTTTCTTTTCATTTCTCTCGGGTAATATATATAGGATTATGGCATACAGTTTTTGAGTTACCATTTTAAAGATGCAGAAAAAGCTTCCTAGTAGATCACATGGAATCAGCTGTAGTAAAATCGACCACCGTATGATTGGTCACTTTCCAGCAGATATCACATGAGTAAAGAAAGGTTTAATCAAGCAGTTGCCGTTACTGCATAATTAACCAAAAGAATAACATTGTTTCCAGTAGTTAAACCAGAAAGTATGGCACACTTTAGTCAAATTCCGAGACATTCTTTAGTAACTCTCTTTGGACTCCGTTTGTGTGCCTTGCTCCTATTGCTTCCCATTCGACTGGGACACACAGGGGCTTACGCCGCCACGGATCCGCTTTTGCAGATGTTCCAAGCTAGCCACTCGCTGCATAGAAGCTGTTCGTCCAACTTGGTTTCCTGTTACTGCTGATCCTAGGGAATTTGTTTGTACGTTTTCAACTGAAGAAATTTCTGTTAGTGCATTGTTGATTCTCTGGTCGTGAGTGGATATAGGATTGTCTGCAGCAACCTGATAAAAGGTATGCTTTGGACCGCCTTGCACTAGAACAGCAGCATCTGATGTATCAGACGGACTTCCATCAAACGACGAGATGCCCATTGTCGATATCTCAGGTGAGGCATGGAACAGATGGTTCAAACCAGTAGTTCTTTTGACAGCCTCTTCAGCCAGTTTTACCTACATATGGAATTCACCAGCGGCCATATTATTAAGAAGTGATTTCAGCATCTTGTATACAAAGATCTCTAAAAGAATACATCAATGAGTAACTTACCTTTGCTCTCAATGTTTCTACATCAGCTTTTAAAACTCTGTTGTCAACAGCTGCTTCATTGTGCTTTTGGCTAATGTCAGTCAAACGCTTCAACAAGTTTGCATTTTCAACTCTTACTTGAGCAACCTACAATAAACAGTGGATTCGGATATTCGTAACTTGAGCAAATGGAAACGAGACGAAAAGCAGAGGAGAAAAGAAGAAGCAAAACGCAGGGAAAAGCAATAGACCTGTGTCTCAAGTTCTGTCAAATGAGCCTGCTTTCGTCGTCTAGACCGCCTAGCTGACTCTCGATTTGAAAGCATCCTGAACCACCATTCGGATAATCGGTGGGAATAGAACACAACAAAGTTAAGTATCTGTAGGATTAGTTTGCTCCATTAATGAACAGATCAAACATTCTCAAACAGATTAATGCAAATGTTTTTTGGTTGCTATACCCTATTTAGACAAGCATCGCCTAGTAAATACCAGCAACTTATAAGAAGAATCGATGGTTACCTTCTTACACGTTTTGCGTCCGCAGGATCCATGTTCTCCATTGTTCCATTTTCTCCTTCAACTTCATCTTCTTCCGACTGCTCTATCGACGATCCGGTACTTGTGCTTGTCCTAACCTGAGCTCCAAGTTTCTTCTGTCCATTCGGAAAAGAAGAAATTCCAACCACTGAATTATCATCCTTGTCACCGGCTCCTATATATTCAGTAAAACAGGAATATAATACATAAGATTGCATTACTCTGAAAACTCGAATTCACAAGCCACTATGAATAATACTGTGAAGGAAGCAGAAAAGAACAGTTGCTCATATGAAGCTTCGGTGATGATCCTAAACCTTTCAAAACAGTTTTGGATCCCAATTGTGCAGTATTAGATGCCTGTGATCCACTGTCGGCTCTACCAGCAGTGTCTTGTGGTGTAGCAATAGATGCCTGTTCGAAATGCACACAACATATACTCAGTCGAAAGTTTTACGAGCGATAAACGATTCACATAATTTCAAACTGGGGACAAAGCAACATGGAAGATGCACCGGACAGATGCATAGAAGATTAAAGAAACCAGAACCATGAGCATGGTTGATTTTGAATTGGAGAAAAGAGTGACATCTAGAACAAAAATGAAACAAATGACCCGGACATGCATGCATCGGTTTTCGGCTCATCAAATACAAACTTATCAGACACAAGAAATCAAAAGGAGTCTGGAACATGTTAACAGTTTCCAGCTAGTTACAGAGCCAAATAGCTTGCATCATGGTATCATGAGGAACAATGCAAGCCATGCATAGGCACAGCCCATACTTGATTAAGCTCCAGCTTTTCTCTGTCCTACAAGGTGTTTTAAGGAAATGCATACTTTTTTTAACACGATAGAGAAAACAGTGTTTGTAATATTTGATTCAGACTAATCTATCAATAAATCCGATACAAAATATTATACCAAAAAAATAATGGTCCAACCAAATTGTAAAATTTGTTTCCATTTGGCAATTTCCAAAATCAAGATGGAAAGCAAATCCAGTAACCAATCATAGCATAAATAAAGGGGGAAAAAAGAAACTTCTACTAATAGTAAAAAAAAATTTCAATGATTTACTGATACCAAGAGGCCAAAAACAATATAAATAACCAATTTAACTGAAATAATTAATAATAAATAAAATTCAAAACAAAACCTTGACTTTCTCAGAAACTTGGACAAAAGCTTCACGACCTAAAAACGTCAAAGACAAATTTTCAGATTTGAGAATAAAGGGGAAAATCTAGCCTTTAATGACCCAAAATGCAAAATCAAAGAAGTAACTAAAAAGAATCAACATCCAAACAACCAAATTTCCCTTTTAAGTTTTCTCGGAAACCAAACATAAACCAGAAAAAAAAACCATATTTTTTCGAAAGAAAAGAAGAACCATTAGTGATCTAAACGTTTCCTTTCTAAGTTATTTATTCGCTCCACTTTTTCTCATCATCCAAAATACTTACCATTGACTTGGCAACAGCAGCGCAAGCCAAGTTAAGCTTCTTCTTAAGAAAAGCCTGATAACCCTCTAAATCTGCAGGAACATTATCGTTGTTGTTACTTCCAAAACACCCATTCTTCTTCTTCTTCAGCTCCTCATCAACTTTCTCCCCCTCGTTATGATCTTCGCCTTTGTTATCAACCTCTTCTCTAAGGAACTCCTGAAAAGCCCACTCCGAAGCACTACGGTTCATTTTAGAACCGGGTTTGGTTGTCTTTGTCGTCGTCGCCACCTCCTGCGGTGGCGGATGAAGACCAGAAGTGGTCGGACATGTCTTCAACAGAGAAAACTCTATCCATTGTGATTGGTTGGATCGTTCGAGGCTATTTTTCGTCGTTTTATGCATCTGCTGATTCAGAAGCGTGTCAAATAGATTGGGATCAGAATTTTTGTCAATTTTTTTATTTATTCTTTAAATTAATATATTGAAACGTGCTTCTATTCAATTCTTTAGGGTAAAATATATTAGAGGTCACTTAACTATATTAAAATAATTTTATTAGTCAGAAAATATTCAACTGTCATAAAATGGTTATTAAATTTTCTAAATGATTACAAAATGATCCATATATGTTATAAAATAGTAATAATTTTTTTGGGTCAATTGGATAGTCATTATATCAATTCGGTATCTAATATTTCTTTAAATTATAAACAAGAACTAACTAAAACATTAACAATAATTTCAGGACATACGTGATTATTTTAGTTTTAAGGATATTTTCTATTTGTTTAAAATAAATAATAATAATTTATTTATTTATCGAATAGACAACAACAAAGTGCATGAAAGAAACTTGAGGAAAATCTACTCCAGAATTCTCATTGGATAGGAAAGCGGCTATTTTGTGAATAATTATTGAAACCGGCCCGACCAAAACATTAACAATCTATATAATATCATGCACTATACTATTAAAAATTTTATAAGAAGTTTTATCTATTATAGAAGTTAAATTTTAAGTAATTACGTACATAAATTGTATGTATTTTATTAATGATAATTTTTTAAAAATATATATAAATTAAACAATTATAATAATTAAATGAATGATTGTTATTTATATAGGTCTTAAATTCAAATACTAACTATTGTAAGATATTTAAATATTTATTATCAAATTATTAAATTTTTTTAAAATATATATTACCACTTAAAAAAATCTTAGACTAATAAAATAAAATATTTTAAACCGATATCACTTTAAATTGTTTAAAATAATAATATTATTATTTAACAAAATGATATTTTTGGCCAAAGACTCGCAAGTAAGAAACACTTTTTAAAAGATGCATTTTGTAAGGTGCACCTTTATTGATGTAATAAATGTTTTAGACACGTATCATACAAGTTATTTTTTTCAATAAAATTTGTAAAGGTTTTTTAAAAGGTTTATATTTTGAGAAATGCTCACGTGCTCTTAATATATGACTAAAAAATGTATTATTAATTTTATTATTATTTTAAATAATAAAATTGGTAAAAAATGATCGAAAATATTATTATTTCTATCGATTTTGTTATTATTATTAATTATCGATATAGGTAAATGCAGTAGGAAAATCTGATAAAAAATAATATTTTCAGTAAAGCGTTACTTAAAATATTATTTTTTACTAGATTTTTTCTACCGTTTTTACCTATATCAATAATTAAAATCAGTATAAATAATAATATTTTCGATCATTTTTTATCGATTTTATTATTTAAATAATAACAAAACCGATAATACCTTTTTTTAATTATATATTAAAACTGTCACACCATACAACTTCCCACATATTTTCCGTCTTGGTATTGGATGATTTTGTTTTAGAGAATCCGATCGAAAAACATGTCACGTCAATAAAAGTGCTCCATACAAAATATATCTTCTAGAAAATATTTTGTACATGACGCAACTTTATCAAAAAAAATATAGTTTTACTAAATAATATTATTTAAATACCATTTAAATAAATAAAAATAAAATATATATTATTCTCCTAATATCACCTTAAATATACGTTACAACAAAAAAATTAGTTGAATGGACGATATGATGTGTTCGAGTCTCATATCACATCATTTGTGGGTTTTATTTTAATTTTTAGTATAATTCATATTATAAAATTTGATTTAAATTCTGAAATATAAAATATATCAGTTCATATTTGCATTTATATTTACAACTCTTTAAAAATAAAATAATTAGTTAAATTAAATATCGGAATAAATAAATAAATATGTTATGAGTGAACGATAACAGTTGTGGAACATTCAAATTTTAGTTACTAAAAAAAAAAGTTAATGGTTCCATAAAACCATCGGCCTGCTAGAAAAATACCTATGACTAGGTCGGGGCGCGGCCATGTTCATTTTCAACTAGCAGCAACGGTACACCTCTTGTTTAGTGGCGGTATGGAGGTGCACCCCATTCTGGTGGCGGCGGTAGAAGAGGCCATTCTGGTGCCGCCGGAAAAGGTGTTGGTTGTGGAGGTAGAGGTGCTGCCCAAGCTGGCACTGGCGGTGGCGGCAGAGGTGCTTCCCAATCCGGTGTTGGTGGCGGTGGTGGTGCTGCCCATCCTGGAGGAGGGGTTGTCGGAGGCGACGGTGGGAATGATGTCTGAGGCGTTATAAGGTCCATCACTATAGTAACTCGATATGTGTTCGAGGGAACGGTGACGCAGCATTTGTGCACCATTAGGTTTGGTTCAAAAATCCACAAACTGATAAGAGAAAGGAGGGACATCATGGCATATCATAAAATAAAAATATTATGTTATTAAAATCAAATCAAATAAAATTTAAATCATTTGGGTATTACCTCTCAGGCTCTCACTGCTTGGCTTTTTCCTAGGGTTCTTGGCTCTGTTTCTATCTCTTATTTGCAGATCTTTGGCTTGTGATTTCTCTTTATAAATTTCAGTTCTACAAATCCGATGCATATCAAACTCTTTAAAGGAAAAACACTAAAATAAATTTCCGATTTTATCTCCTCTTTACCAAGTTTTTCTCTTTGAATTTCCTGGCATATCAAACTCTTTAGGGGAAACTAAAATAAATTTCCGATTTTATCTTCTTTCTGCCACTTAATTTCTTTTTATTATTTTTAGACAAAATTTTTATTATTTTAAATATATAAAAATATGTTATAGAATATATAATAAGATTTATTATAAGAAAGTGCTTGAATTATATCCATTTTTTTAATAGGAAATTTACCTATTTCGGTGGTAAAGGGATATTTGTTATATCTTGAAGTCTTGATTTTGACCACCATAAATGAAAAGAGTATAAGAATTTAAATTCAAATGGTTGAGAGTTATCTTCGAACATAAATTACCTTGTATTTACCCAAGATTAATAAATTAAAAATTCATACCCATTCTTAATTTTAAGTATCTAATTTATTATTATTATTATTATCACATTTGATCCTTTCATCTATAAAGATGATAAGATAATATTAGAAATTATCGCATGACATAATCAGAAAGTATCTAAACAGTTCAAAATTTAAAATATATTTTAAAAAATAATTTGAATTTTTAAAATATATTTTAGATTTTAATAACTTTTTTAGATTTGATGTTTTTAAAATAAAAATTCAAAAACTAATTAAAATAAAAATATCAAATATTTACAAGATATTATGATTCTTTTAAAAAAAAACTATTTGCAATTTTTTTTATAATGGTTATACTTTAAAAGCAGAATCAAAACATTTGTCGAGATCATTTGTGGTGATTCGATGTATTAGATCCAGAAATTCTCATCAAAAGCAGAATCATCATAACTTATTTTTAGTTAGATATGATTGAATACTCGTGAATCAAGTGTGCATCTAATAGCAAGATTAAAATCAAGTTTAGAAATTAATTATGTTTGGGAAATGTTAAAGTACCCTATCAAGCCCAAAACTATATACCTTAAAGAAATTATGTTGTTTCAAAAAGAAAAATAACTTCCAATTGAGAGTTAAATGTAATCACTGTGAAACGTTAAATGTAAGACTTCAAACTTTTTGTTTTTCTTGATTTTTTGGTTCCTTCCTAATATGCCTTCATTCTTCTAGGTTTTTGAATGTTTTGAGAGTTAGGGTTTAATGTTTCCCATCATAGTGTTTTATTATTATTATTATTATTATTATTATTATTATTTTCTTCTAGTGTTTTGTGCCCATCGATGGGTTTGGTGGGAGACTTTATATAAGGTGTGAATTTGACCAGTGGTAAAAGGTAAGATTCAACTTTTATGAGATTTGAGGGATAGGTTTGTTGTGATTTAAGGATAGGGTTGATTAGGATAAGGTTTGATCAACAAAAGACTCCTTGTAGGAGATGAGCTTTGATCAACAAAATAGTTGTATAGGGTTAAAATGTAGAGTTTGAAAATATTGAGTCTGGAAAATTATTATATGGATCCAGTTCATTATGTAATTTGTGGTTCAGGCCAACAAGTTATATTTATCTCAATATAACTTTTAAATAATTACTTATTTCTTATTTACATATAAGAAAGAGGTAAAGATTCACCTTAAAAAAATAGATTGATGTATTTTATTGTTTGGGACCACATGTGACGTGATGAACTAAGTTCATCTTTCAGTCTATTAAGATTAGGGCGATTTAATAGATTGGTTTAATTTGAATATAATGAGTAGGCCCAAATAAAATTGGTGTTGAAAATTGTCCCTTCTTGCTCATTGCTTGAGCAACAAAAATAGGACAAAGACTAAAAAGTAACAATTGTCTAGTCAAATTCAGATTTTTAGATAATCAATGGATTTGCTAAAGATGATTTACTTCTTTCTTCTCGATGATACTAGATTGTGAAGATGATGTTTCACTTAATTTTATCTGAGGATGATAAATTTTGAAGATGATTTTCTCTTCCGTATCAAAATATATCAAATTTTAAAGATGATTTTCCCTCCTTTTTAATAGAGGGTTTTAAATTTTGTAGACGATTTACTCCTAATATTTATTAAAATTATACATTTTATATCTAAATTTATCACTTTTTACATGTGATATTTATTTTTAATTAATTTAATATTTATGTTTATCGAACATTACAAATTTTATATTATACTTTTTTGAAATATTATGCATAACGATCCATATTAAATACCGAGAGGTAGTAAAGAAATAAATTATATTATTTACTTTAAATTATAATAAATTGTGATTTAGAATCCATATCATATTTTAAATCATTTTAGTGTGTAATGTTTGATAAAAATACAAGTATTAAATTAATTCTGAAAAACACAAATACCACTGTCGCAACCGTCTTTCGGTTGTGCTCCGGAATTGGGTTTCGACGTGAAAAATGAATTGGGAGTCGCCACCAATCATTCACTTTACGAAAAGTGGGTTGATCGGATACCTTATTTCTTA